CAAATAATAGCAAACTCCTGTTTGGGTGCATTAGAGAATCAATGTAGTTTTGGCTCCAGTCAAACTGGTACGGAATCATAGGATGTGTAGTTTTCCCAAGGTCCTCTAGCCTTCCCTACCCAAGAGTGCTCTTCAGCTGCTTGGTATGGAATAATGGGATTTGTAGTTTCCCAAGGTGAATTTTTTTTTCCAGCCTTCCCTGCCAGAGCTTGCCAAACTACACCTCCCAGGATTCCGCAGCATTAAGCTGTGGCCATTAATAATAGAGGCACCAAATTTAATTCCCAGGGACTTGCATTGGAGCAGGAAACCCAAGATAATGGATGCAAATGGCATGCAAATGGCACAAAAGGGAAGCTGCAAAGTTGGCCCCCGGCCACGGAGTTTCCAGAATCAGAGCTCTTGTTGACCGCAAAGCATTACGGAAGGTCTAGATTGCAATGTATCCTGTGTTGGAACCACCCTTTGGTTCCCTTAGAAATGCTCATTTTTCAGCATAACAACAATAGTAGTAGTAGTAGTAGTAATAATAATAATAATAATAATAATAATAATAATGATATAACACCACCAACATCCCAAACCCAACATTTCCTTGTAATTTCCCTTGGATTGCAAAATATTGGAATGCTCGGACCACATTATTATTATTATTATTATTATTATTATTATTATTATTATTGGCTTTTAATTTCCCTTGAATTGCAAAATATTTGAATGCTCACATCATATTATTATTATTATTATTATTGGCATTCAATTCCCCTCGAACTGCAAAATGTTTGAATGCTCAGACCACATCATAATTCATTTCTAGAATCATAGAATCAAAGAGTTGGAAGAGACCTCCTGGGCCATCCAGTCCAACCCCATTCTGCCAAGAACCAGGAATATTGCATTCAAATCACCCCTGACAGATGGCCATCCAGCCTCTGTTTAAAAGCTTCCAAAGAAGGAGCCTCCACCACACTCCGGGGCAGAGAGTTCCACTGCTGAACGGCTCTCACAGTCAGGAAGTTCTTCCTCATGTTCAGATGGAATCTCCCCCCTTGTAGTTTGAAGCCATCATTGCGTCCTAGTCTCCATCATCATTATTATTATTATTATTATTATTATTATTGGCTTTTAATTTCCCTTGAATTGCAAAATACTTGAATGCTCAGATCACATTATTATTATTATTATTATTATTATTATTATTGGCATTTAATTTCCCTTGAATTGCAAAATACTTGAATGCTCAGATCACATTATTATTATTATTATTATTATTATTATTATTATTATTATTGGCATTTAATTTCCCTTGAATTGCAAAATATTTGAATGCTCAGCTCACATTATTATTATTATTATTATTATTATTATTATTATTATTATTGGCATTTAATTTCCCTTGATTTGCAAAATACTTGAATGCTCATATCACATTATTATTATTATTATTATTATTATTATTGGCATTTAATTTCCCTTGATTTGCAAAATATTTGGATGCTCAGATCATATTATTATTATTATTATTATTATTATTATTATTGGCATTTAATTTCCCTTGAATTGCAAAATACTTGAATGCTCAGATCACATTATTATTATTATTATTATTATTATTATTATTATTATTATTGGCATTTAATTTCCCTTGAATTGCAAAATACTTGAATGCTCAGCTCACATTATTATTATTATTATTATTATTGGCATTTAATTTCCCTTGAATTGCAAAATACTTGAATGCTCAGATCACATTATTATTATTATTATTATTATTATTATTATTATTATTATTGGCATTTAATTTCCCTTGAATTGCAAAATATTTGAATGCTCAGCTCACATTATTATTATTATTATTATTATTATTATTATTATTATTATTGGCATTTAATTTCCCTTGATTTGCAAAATACTTGAATGCTCATATCACATTATTATTATTATTATTATTATTATTATTATTATTATTGGCATTTAATTTCCCTTGATTTGCAAAATATTTGGATGCTCAGATCATATTATTATTATTATTATTATTATTATTATTATTGGCATTTAATTTCCCTTGAATTGCAAAATACTTGAATGCTCAGATCACATTATTATTATTATTATTATTATTATTATTATTATTATTGGCATTTAATTTCCCTTGAATTGCAAAATACTTGAATGCTCAGCTCACATTATTATTATTATTATTATTATTGGCATTTAATTTCCCTTGAATTGCAAAATACTTGAATGCTCAGATCACATTATTATTATTATTATTATTATTATTATTATTATTATTATTGGCATTTAATTTCCCTTGAATTGCAAAATATTTGAATGCTCAGCTCACATTATTATTATTATTATTATTATTATTATTATTATTATTATTGGCATTTAATTTCCCTTGATTTGCAAAATACTTGAATGCTCATATCACATTATTATTATTATTATTATTATTATTATTATTATTATTGGCATTTAATTTCCCTTGATTTGCAAAATATTTGGATGCTCAGATCATATTATTATTATTATTATTATTATTATTATTATTATTATTATTGGCATTTAATTTCCCTTGAATTGCAAAATACTTGAATGCTCAGATCACATTATTATTATTATTATTATTATTATTATTATTATTATTATTGGCATTTAATTTCCCTTGAATTGCAAAATACTTGAATGCTCAGCTCACATTATTATTATTATTATTATTATTGGCATTTAATTTCCCTTGAATTGCAAAATACTTGAATGCTCAGCTCACATTATTATTATTATTATTATTATTATTATTATTATTATTATTATTGGCATTTAATTTCCCTTGAATTGCAAAATATTTGAATGCTCACATCATACTATTATTATTATTATCATTATCATTATTACGTTCCCGATATGTAATCCTGTCTTGCATCTTGTAGGTTTTAATGTATAGATTGTGCCATTTTTACTTGTTTGCTGCTTTGAGTCTCCTTGAGAGGGAGAAAGCGAGATACAAAGTGCATCCAGACTGTGGAATTAACACAGCTTGACACCCTGTTTGGTTTCATTGCTAGGAGATCCTTGGAGCTGCAGTTTGCATTCTTGGGCCCTTGTTAAAACTACAACTCCCAGTTTCGACACCCTTTCAGTCGCGATATGTCATTGCTAAGGGATCCTTGGAGTTGTAGTCTGCACTCTTGGGGAAAGTGAGATACAAAGCGCACCAAGATTGTGGAATTAACGCAGTTTGACACCCTTTCGGTCGCAATATCTCACGGCTAGAAGCTGCAGTTTGCATTCTTGGGCCCTTGTTAAAACTATAACTCCCAGTTTCGACACCCTTTCAGTCGCGATATCTCATTGCTAAGGGATCCTTGGAGTTGTAGTCTGCACTCTTGGGGATGTTGGGTTGGTCCTTGCAAGTCATTTCGTCCCAAGCCTTATAGAAGCGTGACTCACCTTTGGACCCTGTGAAATATACACATACACACACAGAGTTGAGTCTCGCTTGCCCAACTTTCACTCATCCAACGTTCTGTATTATGCAACACAGCCTGCCTCCCACCCGGATCCACAGCTGTTTCAATTCATTGTGATGTTTTGGTGCTCAATTCGTAAATACAGGAATTACTACATAACGTTACTGCATATTGAACTGCTTTTTGTGTCGAGTTCTTGTAAAACATGATATTTTGGTGCTTAATTTGTAAAATCATAACATAATTGACGTTTAATAGGCTTTTCCTTAATCCCTCCTTGTTATCCAACATTTCCATTTATCCAAGGTTCTGCCGGCCCATTGATGTTGGATAAGTGAGACTCTACGGCAGTGGTTCCCAACCTTTCTAACGCCGCGACCCCTTAACACAGTTCCTCATGTTGTGGTGACCCCCAACCATAACATTATTTTCATGACAACTTCACAACTGTAATTTTGCTCCTGTTGTGAAGCATAAAGTAAATATCTGAAATGCAGGATGTGTTTTCATTCACTGGACCAAATTTGGGACAAATACCCAATACACCCAAATTTGAATACTGGTGGAGTTGGAGAGGATTGATTTTGTCATTTGGGAGTTGTAGTTGCTGGGATTTATAGTTCACCTACAATCAAAGAGCATTCTGAACTCCACCAACAATGGGATTGAACCAAACTTGGCACAAAGAACTCCCATGACCAAGCAAATACTGGGTGGGTTTGGTGGGCATTGACCTTGAGTTTTGGAGTTGTAGTTCACCTACACACAAAGAGCACTCAAACAACAACAGATCTGGACCAAACTTCACACGAATACTCAGTATGCCCAAATGTGAACACTGGCGGAGTTTGGGGAAATTAAAGCTTTGTATTTGGGAGTTGTAGTTGCTGAGATTTATAGTTCACCTACAATCAAAGAGCATTCTGAACTCCACCAATGATGGAATTGAACCAAACTTGGCACACAGAACTCCCATGACCAACAGAAAATACTGGAAGGGTTTGGTGGGCATTGACCTTGAGTTTTGGAGTTGTAGTTCACCTACACCCCGAGAGCACTGTGGACTCAAACAATAATGAATCTGGACCAAATTTGACATGAAAATCAATATGCCCAAATGTGAACTCTGCTAGAGTTTGGGGGAAATAGACCTTGACATTGGGTGTTGTAGTTGTTGGGATGTATAGTTCACCTACAATCAAAGAGCATTCTGAACCCCACCAATGATAGAATGGGCCCAAACTTCCCACACAGAACCCCCATGACCAACAGAAAATATTGTGTTTTCTAATTGTCTTTGGTGACCCCTCTGACACCTCCTCGCGACCCCTTCAGGGGTCCCGACCCCCAGGTTGAGAAACACTGATCTACTGCATGTGCGTGTGTGTGTGTGTCTGCTAAGCATTCCCCCCATATTGCCTCAAAATCTTTCCATGGATCCCTTTGGGCAGCAACGGACTCCGCAGCCGTGTCCTCCTTCTCTTGAGAAGCCAACTTGGGTCTTCCTTGGCGGACGAAGCCCGGATGGGACGCAGAGCGGGTGACTCTCTCTCTCTCTCTGTTTTGTGCACAGAGCATCTCTACCCTCCCGTCCTGACCCCGGTGGCCTACCAGCCCTTGGAGAAGGAGAACGTCACCTTGACGTGCAACACCTCCAGCACCAAATACATCACGGTCTCCTGGCGCAAGGATGGCAAGGACGCGCTCCCCGAGAATGCCCTCCTTTCGCCAAACAACGAGACCCTTACCATCTACGGCTTCACCCAGAAAGACAACGGGAGTTACACCTGCGTGGTCAGCAACCAGCTCGACAATCAAATCAGCAACCCCAGTGTCCTGTCCATGGCATGTGAGTAAACCCGGTTTCGGGTCTGCTTTCGCCTTCCGCGTGTCTGTCGAGGGAGTTCCGGAAGGGAAAAGCCGAGGAGACAAAAAGCCCCACAAATCCCCATTCCCTCCACGCAACCTATGAAGGTAAATTGCCAACAAAGCCTTCAAGGTGACGTAAGAGAAATCAGCAAAACACCGGAGATACGGAAAGAGCGTCAAAGAAACAAGGGAGTAAGGACCACGCACGGGAAGATCGGAACGGCTGTGTTTCTTCCATTCTAAGACGCATTTCGCCCCTATAGAAATCTCTCCAAAAATTGAGCACGTTCAATGTATTGTCGAAGGCTTTCATGGCCGGGATCACTGGGTTGTTGTAGGTTTTTCGGGCTGTATGGAGGCATTTTCTCCTGACGTTTCGCCTGCATCTATGGCAAGCATCCTCAGAGTAGTGAGGTCTGTTGGAAGTAGGAAAATGGGTTTATGTATCTGTGGAAAGACCAGGGAATGTTTTAAATAAATTAAATAACTCAAAAATTACAACAGCAAAACAACAGAGAGTAAACAATCAGGCACATCAATTCACTCTCAACAAGAGATCCCCCCAGGCGCTTCCAGGCCATTGAATGCAAATCAAGGTGATCAGCTGAAACATTACCCTGGTCATTCCACAGATATATAAACCCATTTTTCCTACTTCCAACAGACCTCACTACCTCTGAGGATGCTTGCCATAGATGCAGGCGAAACGTCAGGAGAAAAGTTGCCTCCAGAACATGGCCATATAGCCCGGAAAAACCTACAACAACCCATTGAGCATGTTGTTGCACTCCAAACCAGGAAAGCCCACACAGCTGAGTAGAAATGCAAGCAGTTTATTGAAGATATTTTAAAAGCAGTAGCAGTAAAAAAAAACACTCCATAAAAATATTAAATCCAATTAGGTAGAAAGATAAGCGGGAACAAATAGTCCAGGAAATTAGTCGTGAAGAACAAATACTGAAACGTCCAAGGTAAAACTCCAAAACTTGAATCATGAATCAAAGAAGGCACTTAACACATATGAATCTATCCAAGGCAAGGCTTCCAAGGACCAGGAAAGATGTCTTGACTCAGTTCCAACATTGCTTCGTCTGGCTACAGATTCTGTACTTGCCACTTTTATCCCCTAATCTACTCTATGTCCTGAGCGGCCAGGAACTGATTTCGCTTCAGCCTTGACTCTGTTATCAATCTCTCTGTCAGCCTGGCAGAACGCCTGAGAGATTGGGTTGCTTGTCAGTGCTGATTAAAAACATGCCTTCTATCTACTGGCTCGTTAATTTCTGCAGCTGGCCCAAGCCTAATCTACTCTATGTCCCAAGCAGCCAGGAACGGATTTCGTTTCAGCCTTGACTCTGTTATCAATCTCTCTCTCAGCCTGGCAGAACGCCTGAGAGTTTGGGTTGTTTGCCTGTGCTGACTGAAAATATTCCTCCTATCTACTGGCTCGTTAATATCTGCAGCTGGCCCAGGTGCCCGAGCTATTCTCAAAGCCTTGGGAATTCTCTGGTAGCAATTCAGGCCCTCTTCCAGGGACCATACCATCATCCCCAAACCCTTCAGGAACATTCTCATCAGAAAAGACACTTTGAACAGGAATCCCATTGTCATTCTCTGCATCTAGAGCAACCTCATCATTAGAAACATCATTAGATACATGAACCCTGATCATTAGACACAGTCACGGGCTGAACTCCATCACATGTTTTAAGAATTGGTTTTTGTTGGTGGCGTCAGCACTGGAGTGAAGAGCGTGCCTTACAATCAGCAGCGTCTTACAATGGAAGAAACACAACTGAATCCTTAGAAACTGGTAAAATAATATTTCCCCGTTCACGTATGTTTAGAAAGGTCCTACACTCCAAAACCATTGCCGCCCGATACTCTTGGAACTGTGTTTAATGGGAAAGCAAAGGTCAAAACCATGTCCAAATGAAATATTTATTTATTTATGTATTTCGGTTTCTTCTACCCCGCCCTTCTCACTCCTCTGCTTCTGCATCACTCCTTCTTCTTCTCCTACTACTGGTAGTAGGTATGGTATCAGAATGCTGACTCACAACAGAAGGGGACTCAGGGCAGCTTACAAAAGCAAGGCACAATTCAATGCCCGCATCACATAACAACAATAAACAAAATAACATCAATTAACAACAATTCTTGCATTACAACCATAAAACCAATAAAACCAATACAAACCAATTTCTCCTCATTGACGGTCAGCGCTCGCTATCTCATAGTCCAAATTCCAATTCCACATTGTCAGTCCTGTCAGTCCTAGTCGTCTGGTTGTCCTTATCTAGTTGTCAGATTGCCCGAAGGCCTGGTCCCACAACCACATCTTTACTTTCCTCCTGAAGGAGAGGAGGGATGTTGATGCCCTAATTTCCCCCGGGAGTGAGTTCCACAGGTGAGGGGCCACCACTGAGAAGGCCCTGCTTCTCGTCCCCACCAACCTCACTTGTGATAGCGGTGGGGTCGAGAGCAGGGCCTCCCCAGATGATCTCAAACTCCGGGGTGGGACGTAGAGGGAGATACGTTCAGACAGATACACTGGACCGGAGCCGTACAGGGTTTTGTAGGTCAAAACCAGCACCTTGAATTGTGCTCGGAACTGAACCGGCAGCCAGTGGAGCTGACACAACAGGGGGTGGTGTGCTCCCTGTATGTCGCTCCAGTGAGCAGACTGGCTGCTTACTGGACCAGTTGAAGTTTCCAAACAGTCTTCAAGGGCAACCCCACGTAGAGTGTATTGCAGTAGTCTATTCGGGATGTAACAAGAGCGTGGACCACTGTGGCCAGATCAGACTTCCCAAGGTACGGGCGCAACTGGCGCACGAGTTTTAGTTGTGCAAAAGCTCTCCCGGCCACCGCTGAGACCTGGGGTTCCAGGCTCAGCCATGAGTCCAGGGTCACTCCCAAATCTTCAGCGGGTAATGATGTCAAAGATTATTATTTTTTATGCGGAGCTATATCTCTCACATCTAGGAGCACGAATGCAAAGGATCTCAATAAAGAGGGGAAAGCATGGCGCAGAGTCTCGAGGATTGCCTTCCTATGTGGGACACAGAGCATAGCCCCCCCCCCTTAACCCCTTCCCCTATTACTTTTCAAGCAACTTGGTCAGCTTAGCAATGAAGCATTGACGTTCCAAGGTGACCCTCCAGTTGACCCATAGCTCTGTCATAGGAGGTATTCTTTACGTTCTTCCATCTTGATGCATATGACAGTGTGGCTGCTATTGTCAGATGCAGCAGCCATGTTGGTACATATGGCAGTCTTGCTTCATTGGTCATATATTGAAATTGAGACATTGGGATGGTGGGGCATACAGCAGTCTTGCAGCAGTGGTCATCTATTAAACTTGCCATAATGCTCATATATGGAGTCTTGAAGAAAGGCAAACTTTGCTCCGGATGCTAAGACGTCCAGTCCTTTGAAACCAATGCAGAGAGGTCAACGCCTTGACCCCAGCCCAACCCCTGATTCTTTTCCTTTCTAGATGGGCCCTACTATGCCATGATCGTCCAGTCTGGAGACTTCACCCTCCGTTCAAATGTGTCCCTTGTGTGCTCTGCCGACTCCAACCCCGCACCGCAGTTTCGGTGGTTTTTCAACAACAGCGAGACGAAGGAGACCAAACCGACCTACAGCATCATCTCAGCAACTTTGGAAGATACTGGGGTCTACAGGTGCCAGGCTTTCAACCCCAAGACCAACATCACAGTCAGCGTCAATGTCACCATGCAAATTAGTGAGTGTCCAAACTTGAGACGTTGGCTGTTCTGTGTGCCTGTTTCCGCTCAATCTATCAGTTCCGTCATGATAGGTAGGCTTTACATTCTTCCATCTTGGTGCATACAGCAGTGTGGCTGCTATAGTTATATACGGCAGCCGTGTCGGTGCATACGGCAACCTTACCTCATTGGTCATATATCAAATCAGAGGCATTGGCATTAAGTGCCTGTTTCTGCTCGGTCTATCTATTCCATCACAGCAGGTAATCTTTGTCTTCTTCCATCTTGGTGCATATGGCAGTGTGGCTGCTACGGTCATATATGGCAGCTATGTTGGTGCACATACAATGGTCACAGTGGTCATATATTGAATAGGAGACATTGGGATGGTGGTGCATACAGCAGTCTTGTTGCAGTAGTCATATATTGAATTGGAGGCATTGGCATGTGGTGCCTGTTTCCGCTCGGTCTATCCATTCTGTCATAGTAGGTATTCTTTACGTTCTTCCATCTTGGTGCATATGACAGTGTGGCTGCTACGGTCAGATACAGCAGCCATGTTGGTACACATGGCACTCTTGCTTCATTGGTCATATATTGAAATTGAGACATTGGGATGGTGGTGGATACAGCAGTCTTGCAGCAATGGTCATCTATTAAACTTGCCATAATACTCATATATGGAGTCTGAGACATTAGGATGGGAGTACATACAGCAGTCTTGCAGCAATGGTCATATCTTGAATTGGAGACATTGGGGTGGTGGTGCATATGGAAGTCTTGAAGCAATGGTCATATACTGAATCAAAGACATTGGAATTGTGGTGCATATAGCAGTCTTTCCGCAATGGTCATATATTGAATCAGAGACATTGGGATGGTGGTACATAAGGCAGTTTTGTAGCAATGCTTATATATGGAATTGGAGACACTGGGATGGTGGTGCATACAGAAGTCTTTCTGTAAAGGTCATATATTGAATTGGAGACATTGGGAGGGTGGTGCAGTCCTGCCACAATGGTTATATATTGAATTGGAGACATTGGGAGGGTGGTGCAT